GCCTCTTCCCATACAAGTTTTGGAGGAATTTTAACAAGAGGTAGAACCTCATGGAAAAGATCCTTTGAGTCTTTATCTCTCCTCAAATTCCTGTGTTTTTCATGTGGTCCAATCAAACGGTCATTACTACATTATTCCTGTGTTTTGCAATCCTCTGTTTTACACTTACATTCCTGTCAGAATCCTATGTTTTTCCTATTCCTCCGTTTTTTCATTCTTGTGATTCAAAGGGGCCCTAACATGAGGTAGAACCTCTTGGTAATTTTCCTTTGAGTCTATCTCTCTTATCCAATTCCTGTGTTTTTCCTGCGGTTCAATCAAATGGTCATTCCTGTGTTTTTCCTGCGTTTTACAATCCTATATTTTACACTTACATTCCTATCAAAATCCTACGTTTTTCCTATTCCTACGTTTTCTCAATCCTGCGATTCAAAGGGGCCCTAAAATTCCTATGAATTTCCTTTGAATCAAAGGGGGCCTGAGTAATTTTCCATATGAGCAAATACTACTGGACCCTCAAGTTGGAAACTCATGCAAAAGGAATCACAAATCATTTACTTGGATGTTAACCACCTAATCCCTTCGAATTTTTCCTTAATGTGTATATAATTAAGAGACTTCTCGATGTTAACTCAACCTTGATAAGAAATATACTAATTACAACAGATTACAAATGCCGTTGAATTGATTGAATGATTAATGATAATATGGTATCATTACTCGAAATCACAACATGTTTCAGCCCTGAGATCCATATTCTATTCTACATAAAGAATTTGCAAATATCTCTTTTGCCATCGCCATCTTCACAACGTTATGATCATTATGCCCTTTTGAAATTTGGAAAATCATGAAAAATTAAATATAATTGTAACATATAATCAGGGATACTTTTGAATAAATCTTTTAAAATTTCATGATTTGCATTGAAGAACTTTGTCAGTGTTGAAAAAACACTGAGGAATACTGAAACATGCGGCGAAGTACACATTGTTTTCTAGATTTTTCTGAAAGGATACGTTGTATAAGAGACATTTCAATATTCTACAGTTTTTTGGACAATAGAAGTATAACTTCCAGCCTCTGCACCAATTAAGGATGCACATAGCCATATTTTACATTACGTCCTCAAACATTTCAGAAACGTATTTTTTTCTATTGCTCAGCAATAAATAGTTTGGTTCTCTTTTTACTAGTCTATAGACTTTCTGGTAAATTTTCAATGATTATTGAAAGTCTATAAAGTCATAATTATCTCTGTGAGAAAAAGTATGCTGATGTATGAATAGAAAAGGAGAGCAGTGGCGAGAAAAAATATTTCTTCAAATTACTGCATTTGACTAGAAATGATCCATTCCTCCATGTTATGAAAGAAGTCGATTAATTAGATTAATATTTTTGTAGAAACTGATATAGCTTAAGAACTGCAGTGTAGTAGTAAATTTTTCAAATATATCATGAAGTTGATCTGATTGCATCTATATGTGTAAAGAAAATCATTATAATGGTCATAACATACCTTCCCATATTAATTCCCAAGAATGTCTCCAGCAAGTCATTATAACGCAACAAACGAAGCCTAATGATGCGACTGTCCCATGCTGAGGTATCAATGCTGTTATCCAACTTTGAAAATTTGAAACGGTCTGTTATACGAAGGCCAAAAGAAAGTAGGGCTTTCAGAGCAATCTCTGTTGGTCCAACTTTGTTCAAACATTCTGACAATACAAATACTTGGTCTTTAATGTTTGCCAAGTATGTGTCTATATCATGAACATCTCCATCGGAGCTCAACCACTGTGCTTTAAGAACTTCATCCTTATCTAAATTATGCTTGCAGGCAAAATCCAAAGCTTCCTTGTATCGATTCCCTCTGATGAGAATAGAGTACTTTTCTGGGACTGTAATTTTGGAGAATGATATCAGGCTCCAAATTATTTTATCCATCTCGGAACGCTGATTATTTCTAGAAACATTTTGTAGGTTAGGCATAGAGTTACTATCCACCTCCTCAAATGTAGTGTTTCCTTCGTACCGGCTTGATTGCAAAATAAAAGTGTATCCTTCAACAGCTCTTGCCTTTTCCAGTTGTGGTGTAGATAGAACATGACCATCTTCTGAAACTACCCTGTTTCCACTGATGCTGTACATGTTAATGCTACCTTTTTCCTTTACCACCATCAGAATATTATCTGTCCACCAACTGATGTCCTTAACATCACTCAGTTGTGTACCATTCCTGGGAGGATGAAGTGAAGCAGAGCGTTTGTCATTAGCAAGTACAAAGATGTTGACAGAACCATTCAAATCCAATGTAGCAATATGCTTGCTCTGAGGTGAGATTCTGACTTTTGCAGATGAAGCAAAAGTTGCTTGGTCCTTAGGAGGAAAAAATGTCCCTTCCAACTGCAGACTTGGAAACGAAAGACTAAATTCCAGATTTCCGTTGAAGTGCAACACATATAGAAAACAAGCTCCTAAAACATCACATCAAAAATATTAGACACAACATAAACATTAGGCCAGTAGATCTTCATAAAACCAAAATGTGTTCATTCAAGATCAATATTTGATATCAAATGACTTGGTTATTACACAATTTTATTATGTATGCAGCACAAAATGCTATAAAGTACAGGGTTGACAACTGCTCATAGGGGTATTAGTAAAAACTAAAAACCAGTAAGAGCAAGGGTATACCAGAGGAGCCATTGGAGCTTAAAAAGGCATTTGGATTCCCAATTAAGACCACTAATGAATGATCCTGGTGATAATCAACGCATGATACACTATGTGGCAATTGAGGAGTCTTAGCTGATACCGCATCTTGAATCAATATGGCAACTTTTTGCAGGTTTGCTTCATGATCTTGCATGTAGTCAAATTTATGAACCATGCCATCACTTGTGAAAATGTAGAAACCCGGCCTACAAACATGTATACCGATATTAATAGTTACAGCCAAAGATAACAAAACTTGTGCATGAGCCCTTAAAGGGAAAAGTTATAACAACCAATTAAGGATCACCTCTCCGAGCTTGAGCCATCATGCACAACTATATTAACGATAGGATAAGACAGCTTCAACTGATTGCTTGTTCTCCTTGTTAATGCCTCTCCATTTTCTTTGATCAAATGAAGTGTGTTCAAGTCATCCACCACACCTAAAATGCCTTGAGCCTCCAGCCAAGCCCCATTTGTAAAAAAAGCCATCCTGTCATTATCTGACCAGAAAGAATTAGGAATCGTAATTTAAGTATTTGAACACAACAGTTTTGATGACTAGTAAATCTACATCAAAATCCAGTGCCATCTACTGCAGCACAACACACTGCATACTCTTATAATTTTTTCAAGAGATTCAAAAGAAATGCTAAGGAAGTAGACCGACAGTGCCTAGGATATGGCAGTAGTGGTTGCAAAAATATACTAAAAGGTAATTGCAAAATATCCAATAGATTAGTGAACTGATGATAGTAGATTTTTTCATATTTAAGTCATTCTCATTCCAATAGTCTTGCCACCCAAATTGTCACCAGTTTAGTCAGCAAAATTGGAGTTGACAGAAAATTTCATGTTTAACTACCAAAGTATATAGCAAGTAGCAACAACCAAGCTGGTATGGTAGAACTACATCTTGCATGATAGCAGCCACTACATTTGCTCCTGAAGTTATCTAATGATTTGCAACCTTGTAGGTTACCTGTCATAGTGTCATGGCCTACTGGTGTTATTAACATTACAAGCATGAAAAAGGCTAATGCCCAGGTCAAACAAGGACAACTTCAGAACCACCCATTTCATATACAATGGAATGTACTATGATCAGATACAAAAGAAGAAAGGGATAACTGAATACTCTCTAAAAGCATGAGAACCATTCCTTGCTTAGTAATCATTGCAGCATTTATGATTTCATCGCCAATGAGCGATACTTTAAAACTCAATGATGTGTAACAAGTAGAATGTTGCTTACTCGTATATACGCCACAAGGTGAAGCATACCCATCGCCCTTCCTCAAGACGGTTATGCGATTCCCAACAGCTACCCCCACATAGTCTGCGTTTCGTGAGACAAACAACAATGCTGCATTTATCCTGCTCCTCTTCTTACTCCAACCCAGTGCGCTGTTCCTAGTCCACCTCTCCTTGAGCTTGCTTACACCTAACAAGAAAAGTGGCAGTAGCTAGTGTTAGATGCATCGTCTCCTGGACAGATTTAGTGAATGATTTGATGCGAGTGCAAGAAGAGGGGAGGTGATGTACCCTGTAAAGAGAGATAGGAGAGAACTCCTCCTGCAGCACCACTTGTTCCAGTGATTTCTCCTTCCTGCCATTGCAAACAGTGAGGATAAAATACAAATTATAGCTCTGAGAACAATACAAATAAACATCAACATGGCTGCACATACAAATATCGTACAGTGAGTTAAAGAAAATTTGATCAAAATATTCCATAAAAATAGTAAATTAAGAAGTGTGAGTCAATGCGATGAACCCAGACAATATCCCCTCCTGAAAAGAAAAAAAAAAGTGCCGCCCCGCCCGTCCAAAATTATCGAAGTTCACAAGAAAATCCGAAACACGCCATGAACCCGTGAATCCCGTAGTACGGGTACTATCCCGCGATCGGATTCGAGGAGCCGCGCCTGTGAACGAGAGGAGGAGAGGAGAGGGGTCAGGCGTCTCGCGCAACTCACACGAAGGATTTCGTGGGATCCCGACGCGAGGCGGCGGATCTCGTACAGCGCTTCGTCCTCCCCGGCCATCCCCGCCGCCGCTACCGCCGACCACCGCCCGCCGCCGCTGCGCGCCTCGCAGCCGGAGATCTCTCCGGGGGTTGGGAGCTCCTGCTCGAGTCGAGGATTCGAGGAGTCTCCTCCTCTTTTTTTTTTTCCTTTTTCTTTTCCTCTTCCCGGTGTGATGTTACGACAGGGATGAAGATGGGCTGGGACGGGCCGGGCCACCGACCAAATTTCCTGGGGAAAAGTACACCGAAGGTCCCTCAACTTGTCATCGAGTTACAAAATCATCCCCCAACCACGAAATCAGATATGAAACATCCCTTATCTTACAAAACCGTTCACTTTAGGTCACTCGGTGGTTTTTACCCCGGTTTTATTCCACGTGGGCGGCTGAGTCAGCGTGGGACCCACGTGGGCCCCACATGTCAGGATGTCACGTCATCCCATCCTCTCCCTTCCTCCTCTCTCTCACTTCTCTCCTCTCGGGTAGGCTAGCCAGCGGGTGGGGAGGAGGTCGCCGACAACAGGCGCGAGGACGAGAGGGTCGGCGGCGACCAGGTTGACGGTGTTGGATTCGGTGACGGCGGCGGCGGTGACATTGAGGAGGTTGGAGATGGAGATGACGGAGACGTATAGCGATGAGGAGCGGAGCACGAGGTAGGCGTCGCAGGGCGCCGCGGCGGCGGCGGAGGTGGAGGTCGCATGAGGCGGCGGCTGAGGGTCCTCGCCCGCGCCGCGTCGCGACAGCAAGGAGGACGTGACCTCGTACTCCTGCTGCGCCTGCGCCGCGACGGCAAGGAGGAGGACGAGCGCGAGCACAGTGCCCCCCCCTCGGATTCGCCGTAGCCTCTCCGCTATCGGCGAGGTCGGCGTCAAGAGATGGATGGTTGTGGGGGCGGATTCGCCGTCTCGGATTCGCCGTAGCCGGCGACGAAGCCGCGGCCGCAGACGGTGAGGTTGTCCCCGGGGACGAGGCCACGACTGTTGTCGGGGTCGTCGTCGTGGACCACGATGGACAGCACCTCCTCCTCGCCGCCACCGCCATCATTGTCATAGATGCCAATTTGATCGACGACGCTCGTCGTTGGGATGACAGTCAGTCTAATGGCGCCATCATTCCTAGCGAGGTGGCACGCGAACGCCACCGCCTCCCGGTTGTCGGGCTCCGCCGCCGACGCTGTTGTTGCGCCGCCATCGGCAAGATTCAACGTGGGAGCTTCGGATTTGGCCGCGGGACGGCCAAATCTGGGCACGGATCCACGTCCTCCACCACCGCCGCCGAAGGCCCGTCGTCGTCCATGCATGCCGCCGCCGGCCACCGTCGCCCGCGGTCTGCTTGACGTTGCCCACCGTTCGCCCGCGGCCATCTCGACGACCTTCGACTCCTTGCAGGGGCTGACATGACGCCCGCCGGCATGCCCTCGCCGGATCCGGCCGCTTCCACCATGGGTGCCAGGTGCCCCAGCCGGCGCCGTTTCGGGGAATAAGAAGTAGCCCCGCCGCTGCCGTCGTAGAGGAGAGAAGTGAGAGAGGGAGAGAGAGGAGGAAGGGAGAGGATGGGATGACGTGGCATCCTGACATATGGGGCCCACGTGGGTCGCACGCTGACTCAGCCGCCACATGGGACAAAACCGGGCTCAAAACCACCAAAGGACGTGAACGGTTTTGTAAGTTGAGGGATGTATCATATCTGTTTTGTGTTTGGGGGACGATTTTGTAATTCGATGACAAGATGAGGGACCTTCGGTGTACTTTTTCCTTTTCTGGGCCAACATGGGTCGGCCCATGATAGCCCATAAAATGTGTGCATATAAATGGGTTTTTTTTGGACCATCTAAATAAAAGTAATGACATAAAACAGAGCTTAAAGCAGTCAGATTTTTTTTTTGGGCAGCAGGATCTATACTCAACGATCAAGACTAGTGGGCCTCTAACTACAGACTTTTATTTGCACAATCTGGTCTCTTTGATCGATGAAAATAGTACGGACTTCATTTCTCAAACAATAGGATTAAACACCAATCAATACATCGGAATAACATAATCGTACAAAACCATTACATGCAAGCGAGTATTAGCTTAACTAGAAACTATAATCAAATTTATTTGTAATTACAGTGTAACTGTGTAACTATAGTGTAAATATAGTATAATTATAATTACAATGTAATTTAGCCTATTTATACTTGACTAACAGTGGAATCTAAAATATACTACTAGTACGGAAGAATTCCTAACGTGAGACCCTGTGTGTTTTCCCGGTCATTACAAATCAATACATCTGATTCTTGAGTGGAAGGAGTACAGAGTAAGTTATTTTGGACAGCGACACGGTTTCAAAACACAACTGTGACTTTTTATTTTTTAAAATATATTTAGATTATTTAAAATTATTTTATTCATAATTACTTCAAATACTATGAAAAATTACTTTAAAAAATGTTGTTACTTTTAATACCATAAAGAGTTGTTTTCTTTTGGTAATGCAGGTACTTCTAATACCTTAAAAAGTTATTTTTTAAAAAAAAATATAGTTGTGTCGAAGTAAGGAACTCCTGCAACGAGAAGCGAGTACTCCCTCTTTGAAGATTCAGCCCGATTCCCTGCAAAGAGGGGACTTGAATTTCACTCAAGATTCGGAGTAAGGAATTCAAGTCCCCGATTCCCTGCACAAGCGGTTCGTCGTGCATTTAAAAATAAATTAAATGCAAAATTATATGAGAGTAACGTGTTCTGGTTTAAGTTTATGACAATTAGATTTACTCTATCCGTCTTATACAAAATCAACCTAGTATCGGACGTGACATATCCCTAGCACCGGATGTGACATATCCTAATCAACCTAGTACTGGATGTGACATATAGTACTACAAATCTAAAAATACATCTGTCCAGATTCATAATAGTAGGATGTGTAACCTCATTCGTTTTTTATGTGACGGTGGGAGTACATACTTAAAAGATACTATTTTTTTAAGTACATCGCCTCCTCCGCACAGTCATCAGGCCCACTCTAATCATTAGAGACGTCATTTACATCCCGTAGGAGTACGTGTACATTCAAACACAAACATATGCTCATCATATCGTTGGTACTACGCTTTGAGTGCTTTGATATTTTTTGTCTAGATCGTTTGATTTTAAATGCAGTTTATAGATCAGTAATGCTCTACGTATTCTACACATATCTATATTAGAACAAATGAATCATATGAAAACATTATTTAAGAGTAAATTTCACAAAACAACATGTATTTTGCATAATTTATCACAAAACTACATATTTAAGACCTTGTTTCACAAAACTGTAGATTTAGTATATCCGTTTATCACAAAACTACAGGTACTTTGTACAATCTATCACAAAACTATATATTTAAAAACATGTTTCACAAAACTATAGATTTAGTGTATTCGTTTATCAAATAACTATACATTTAGTGTCTTCATTTATCACAAAACTACAAATTTAGTGTCTCCATTATCACAAAACTACAGGTTTTAACAATGCTAAAACCTGTAGTTTTGTGACAATAAAGACACTAAACATGTGGTTTTGTGATAAATGAAGATATTAAATCTGTAGTTTTGTGAAATAAATTATTAAATCTGTAGTTTTGTGATATATTGTGCAAAGTACATGTAATTTTATGATAAATGAAGATATTGAATATGTAGTTTTGTAAAATAAGTTCTTAAATGTATTTTTGTGATAGATTGTGCAAAGTATATGTAGTTTTATGAAATTTACTCTTATTTTAAACAGTCGTGTATAACCCTTTATTAAAGATAACTGCCGATTAATATGCATGTAAGCATACGAACATATAACAAGTTAGCAATGTTTTCTCTTTTGGACGGGTTACACTAACCTTGCGACTTCAATACAAACAAAGGGTAAGTTGTCAGTTATATGCTTACAATGCGTTGTCTATCAAGTCAACAAATGCTTTCACTCTTGCCTTTTTACATGACATGCCAATATTATTATTCCCATTGCAATACACGGATATTTTTGCTAGTAATTTAATATTTTTTTCGATTTACCTGCACAAGCAAACCGCTGTGACAACATACATGCCCCACGGGGTTTAGGCCCTCTTTGTTTAGGTTTAGGCTTATTGGACTATACTTTTAAGTCAGCTTATTGGCTTATATGATTTATAAGCCGGTGAATTTAATGTTTTAAATTTGGTTGAGTAATACATCTACCTTACATAAGCCAAAAAAGCTTCTATAACCTAGCTTTTGGCTTAATAGTGTTAGAGTGGCTTATGGCTTCCAAAAAGCCAAACGGAAAAGCTACATGTTTATTTAGGCTTAGACTTTTTGACTTATAAGTTGGCTTATAAGCCTAAACAAAGAGGGCCGCTTTTGGCTTAATAGTGTTAGAGTGGCTTATGGCTTCCAAAAAGCCAAACGGAAAAGCTACATGTTTATTTAGGCTTAGACTTTTTGACTTATAAGTTGGCTTATAAGCCTAAACAAAGAGGGCCTTAGGATTTAGACGAAAAGCCCAAACCGAGGCACACTTCTTACGAATACCAAAATAATGACAATTACCTCCAAGCCTCTTGCAAATATTACAAATTATATGGGGATGTTTCTATTCCATTAATCTAAGCCCATAGGATTCAAATTAGAGCCTACTAAATATTGGATACACATTTTCATTCTTCAATGTACATATAGTCTCATGAGATTGTCTGTAAACGGTCATGTAAACCCACATTTCAAGGGATGAACTACAGAGGTCAACAAGACTCCAGCTTGGGCAAGGCATCGAAAAATTATCTTGCTTGACCTCACATAAAAAGCACACGTTTGCTTCTTGACGATTGCATCTGCATGAGGGGCTGCATAGGGAAGAAGCAGGGCATGGCTGAAAATAGGAAAAGTTAGTCCACACAGATTTTTTTCCCCTCTGAATAATATGCTCATGTGTTAGGAAAACTTGAGAAAGAGCATGAGCATCTTGACACAAAAAAAAATAGAGAAGATATAATAGCACCAGGTAGATACTAGTTCCTATCATGCGCAAAAATGTGAATAAATATTTTATCACGCTTTACTGTGGAGGGCAACTTACAATTAGGTACCTAAGATGGTTTTTTCTTTTGGACAACTTTCGAAATTCGTCTTAAATTTTGACCGCCTTTCTTCATTTCCCTGAACCACAAAATATGAGGATCAGACCAGAGAATGTTTGAAGTAAAAGATAATTATAGTTCTTGTGGCACAGACCTCTGGTGCAAGAATACTATGAGATAGAACAGTGGCAAAAGTACTATTGTTAAGGCACAGAGAGCCAGGTAGAATCTGTTTGTTTGTTTCTGCACAAAAGGAAAAGTACAAAGATAAGATTTCAGATACTTTTTATTCCTTTAGCTAGTAAAAGGAGTATAGTTACACAATGAGAAATATCCAGGACCTTGGACCTGGATAAAGAAATAAAAGAGTTCTGTCCAAGTGCTATAATGATTATTTTTCATTGATCACGCATTATCTGTTCAAGTGTGAACTACAAGGGCATACATTTGGCATGTTTAAAGTGTAAATGCTATATGAAAGTATGATAACCTTAAACTGCAATACGCCACAAAAATTTTTTACAGCATACTCCAATCAAAGTTGATATTACACAAAATAAAAATATTATAAAGCTTCCACAGTCCAGAACAAGAGATGAAAAAACTGTTAACTTATTCCAAATGTTATTTGCTGATTTTTATTGGAATCAGATCCTGCTTAAAATTCATGTTTTCATATGTAGCTCAATAATGCAGCAAAAAGTTCAGAATCCTTTTTGTTTTGTGAGGAGAAACCCATAACTGAATCAATCAAAGGTTTCCAAGTTAGGAATTCTCTCACCCTGCCACCTTTGGGGAAAGGTTTAGAGCCATTCTTGCATGTGTGGGCATCACAGAATTGGCGCAAGAGAAATTCTGTGAAACAAGTTGGATAAGCAAGAAAGCTACACGAGAGTGCTATGAGGACAGATAATTAGATTCAAGTAGTGCTCAGTTGCTCACTTACCATGAAGACGGCTGGCAGATTGCCCTTGATTAATAGGAAAGCAACTATCTGCAAGGCTCTATTAGCAGAAGCAAAACTGAGTTAGATAATTTCCATCAGTAGGCCAGAAAATGCTCAATGTATATCACATCTATTGTTTAACCATAAGAACCAAGGTAGCAAACTGATTTATGAAAGATAAAGGACACAGAAAACTTCAATACCATTGCAATAATGGATTAAGGTAAATACAAATAGTGCTTATAAGTAAAGCATGTACAGCACCCATAGTCTGCTCGTTGATTAGGGGATAGATAAGCATGAAAATCTCTATCCAAAGGTCCCTCATTTTCATCTAATTAACATAACAAGTACACCAATATGCCTGCATGCATAATCTGGTGCTTCTCAACAAGATCACAGCGCAGAACAATATTAGTTTCAAAGGAAAAAATATGTCACATAAGATGAGAATAGCTAAAGACAAAAGTTATAACATATCAATGATGTGTAGTTTATCTAATGCAATCCTCGATATGTAGAGCAGGAAATGGGAATAGTAATATTTACACACAAACAGTCCAAGATAAAAACAAAATGCAAATTAGTAATAGCAGAACATGAATATGCTTCTTGATATGCTATATGAATATAATGAAATCAAACAAATAAATGGATTTAGAATGTCCCCGGAAAAAAATGGATTTAGAATGGTTAAAACAAAAGGATAAGAACCTCACAAAGATGACGATTCCTTGCAGCTGCAGTTGCACTGCATTTACTCTTTGGTTTCTTAAACTCCAACATCAGATCACAGTGAAGTGCTCCACATAGATCAGCCAAGCATCTTCCTTGACTCTAAAGGAGATAGTGTAACAATCAGCATTTCTAAGCATGGCCAATCATAATGAAGAAACAAAAATAGATTAAACAAGTTAGATCTGCACTAGGAGATGCATTGCCAAGAAAATCCCACAGAAGACTGTCTCGTGTAAATAGTTATAAATGGAACTTCGAAGAGCCTTGAATTTGTTATTTTCTCAATTAATGAGGAAGGGAAAGAATATAATCACACTTGTGGCAGAAACCACACAGGCTACACCAATACTATCAAAGAAAGAAAGCAGATATGAAACTAGTACAAGTGATTTATGGAACGGATGATTGAAAGTCTCATGCAAATCGGTAAGAATCATACATTATCCACAAGATTATTGTGCCGATTGTGAAAATGCTGATCAAGGAACTTCTCTGCTCGGAAGGCTTTCTTGCAGAAACCACAGCGCCATTCATTTATATCAAAGTGAATCTTATGCTGCTCCTGTTCCCGAAACATGTCATTACCAGGATGAAGTCTACATTTGCTTGGGAGTTCATATTTCTCTTTTTCCACAAAGGGCATCAAATACTGCATAGAAAGGAAATGTTAATCTGTCATATTATTATAGAGGCACCAATGCACTGGGCATTTTCATGTTACACATGCTTTACCTCATCAATAGCTTTCCAAGCTGCACGGCTTCTTTCCCTTGAGCAATGCACTTGATTTGTGTGTTCATGTGACATAAGAAGAGTTCTAGAATCAAGTTAAAAGGACAGAGGGTCATGAGTCAAGCAAGAGCGTTTCCAATTTCCATTAAGGCTCCAAGGAATGAACTACTTTAGGAATTAAGAGGACCTAATCTCGGCAAGGATCTTGCTTGTAGTGTCATGCCTTGAAAAGGCAAGGTACAATTTTGGGAGGGACTAGGTGAGGGTCTTATTTTAGAATTTAGACTGGCATGTATAAAATAAAACATTAAATAACATATTTCCCTCCATATGAGTTTGTGAGCTTAAGTACCTGGATCCAGCAGCTTCATGAAATTCCTATAGCACAAAAGGAATATTCAGATTAGCTAGAATAAGGGAATTAGGTGTTCATCTTAAAATCAAAGAGAATTTTCTAGTAGATATAGCAGCAAATTGTAATTTGCACTGTAACAAAGTAAAGATTTACTTATTTCGTGTTTATCATGAGAAGCATGCATATTCATATCCTGAAATGTCATTTGCTTATCAGCTAATACAAATAACAGTGTGCTGCTTTCTAATAGAATGTAGCCATTGCAAGTATATGCAACAACTCAAAGGAAGTGATGATTGAACATAGGATGGTATATCAAATAATTGATGGCAGTACGCTGCACACCTACCATAAGAACTTAACTTCACATAAAAAACATGCCTACTCAACATGCACACCATTAGTATCAACATTTTACTGAAATAACTAGTAGCAGGGACACCAGAGAAACGTTTACATGCAACAGCTCTCCTTTTTGTTTTGCATAAAAATACTACTATAATAAATTACCACGGCGAATTTCCATCTCACAATCAATCGTTGCAAGAAACCACGACGGACATCACAAAGCAAATTATACAAGGAAAACAAGTCAGGTAAGCAAATCATATCAACATAGGCAAGCTTGCAATGTTCCCTTTAGGCATGAAGCAAGACAAAGAACAAATCTGCAGATAGACTAGCTGATGCGGACCCAACGCCAATTAATTCTCTTAATGGAATGAATGACACCGTCTCACGTAATGCTCACAAGTTGAGCCCAAGCTCAGAATGTTGAATCATTTCATTTATACTTATCAAATCAAAGTAACCTAAAGCTTAATTCTACATACAAAAGAAAAAACACCTCTTCTGCACCCTGAAATAACAGGAACTGAACGTACGGATCTCTAATTCAGCAAGCAAGAAGACTACCGATCCAATCCAGCACAAGATAGATATATACCTGGTGTGATGCCGCCGCAACAGCTAAAAGGCAGGAAGCGAAGAGGACGAGGTAGGCGGCGGAGCGAGAGCGACCACCCTCCCGCCTCGGCATCCTCCAAGCTTCTACAACCTTCTGGAGAATAATCGGAGGGGACCTCAGGTACTTGTTCTCACTGTGATTCGAACTGAAAAATCATGCAGGAGAGGACTTCCTTACCAGAAAAAAGGGGAAATCACTCACTCCGAGCTATCTTGGATGGATCTCCCGCTCCACCCCACCCCAAGTCCAGTGCAGCAGAGGGGAGTAGGGGACTGTCTGGAGAGGAAGAGAGGGAGGGGGAGCTGCGGGCTTCGATTCGAAGCGGCGGAGGCAGCCAGGTCAGGCGAGCGTGCTCCGGCGGGAGGATCGCCGGCGGCCGGCGGCGCGAGCGAGAGAGGCGGAGACGGTGGAGGGGAGGAATCAGCTCCTCTGACTTCAGCCCTCACGACGGCAGAGAGCAGTCGAGGTCATCCAGCCGTCCACGTTCGATCGAACCGTCCGCCCAAAAAGCGCACGGCCGCGTCGTGAGTCTGGGCCAAGGCCGGCCCAACAAGCCCCGTCCCCGTTTGGCCGCCGCCATCGCCCAGCCGTGCTCGTACTCCTCGTCTGGCCGCCGCCATCGCCGTCATTCTTGTCCCCCGCGCCGCCCTCGCTCTCGCCGTCGTGCTCGTCCTCCTCGCCGCCCGCGCTCTCACCGTCAGGCTGCAGTACTCAGCTGAGGAGATGGGGACCGGAAGGTGTGCAAGATGCAGCGCTTGGTCACGGCCACGGCGCACCGGTGCCACGAGCTCGATGTGCGTGTGCCGAGCTCGAGCAGGCCATGCGCCGCGACAGGCAGCGCGCGGCGAATGGAGGAGGGGAGCGAGTGGAGGAACATAGCGGCCTCCTCGGCAGTCAGGGAGAGGAGGAACTCCTCCTCGCCGTCTCTCAGCAGCGAGTGAGTGGAGGAACACAGCGGCCTCCTCTTCAGCTCCTTAATGCTGCGTCCAGGAGTGTTGCTTTGTTGTATGTCAAACCGAATGGCATTCTGGAGATACTGAATGTGCAGTTATTAGAATGATAGATTGTTCTTTACACAGGCAGCAGACCACTTGTTCTGAAAAATGGGGTTGCATGTGTTCTGTAATTTGTATAGAAAGCAAAAAAACTTTGTAAATTGTTTGTAGTGAGAATGGCTTGTCCAACAAAATGATGAAATGGCCATTTGTAACTTATCACTGCAATGAAATTATGTTCCAATTCTGGGCATATGGCCTGTTCAAGAGAACCAACAGTTTTTGTCCCCCAAAATGCTTGCTATCTGCTGTCCAGTACCAAGTGTATATGACATACTAAACTGTACACACTAACCACAGGCGTGTGCATTCAGTTAATAAAAAAGACTGAAGGTGCTCATTGATCCGGCATAGCGTCGTCCTTTCAGAAGAGCCTTGCCATCAGAATCCTCTTCCAAGTGCTCAACACCAATCATGTCATCCCCTGCGTTCAGCACCTGTTGGCAGTGGTGAATGGGGGCATCTGCACATGTTCAGTAACAAACAAGGGAGGTACAACCAATGGATGCATAAATGCTCACCTTGCCCAAAAGATCAAGCTGTTCATCAAGCGTGCCAAAAGAACAATCTCGGCAGGTGCCGCAGCCCGCAGAGACCAAAAGCCTATTCACCAAAACCAAACTCCATTGCTAGAATTCAACATCAAGATCATCGACGGTTGCTCCCTGAAAAATTAAAGAAAATTTAAACTCTGTCGATGTTAATACTAATGGATCATAGCTTCGAAATATTACCGTCAATAGTTGAGAGAAGGTGTTGATGGCCATGTATGGTTCAGACATTTCTTCCATGGGCAAAGAGGTACTAGGATATATATTTTGCCCTGCTGGATTGTCATGTACTGATGCTTCTTTTCCCTTTTTCTTGCCTCCCGTCTTTGCAGTCTTTTGTTCCTTCAAATAAAAGAAATAAAACTGAGCATGTTCCCATTGAACAGTGAAAGAGAAACAAATATACTTTGAATACTGAACATGTTCACATACCTTTGAACCTTTTTTCTTTCTCTTACCTCCCTTGTTACTTCCATTATTTGTGGACTTGTGCAGCTTATCAAGCCAATTTTTTTTGCGCTTTGAGGTTTTTGTTTCCACCTCCTTTTTCTTTAGGCGAGCTGTACTCACCAAGTCACTTGGAGGAGTAATATCAGTGGGACCTAGAGCTATGGTATCAGTAAATCCATTGATTTCTTCTTCAACTTGCTTGGTAAGGATATCAAGTGCGTTGTTTACTAACAAGGTAGACCCTGGATGGCTGGCAGCTCGAAGTGCCAAATTGAGAAATTTGCGGGTCATATCTTTGTAGCGAAGCATCTCATTTAATCTTGGGTTCTCTATAATACTTCGTCCATGGTTATCTTGTACTGTCCCACTACGTGCTCCACGTGTCCATCGCTTCAGTACATATTGTGATGGGAGAGATTTTATATTCATCAAATCAAGGACTTTTAAAGCATGTGCACACAATATTCCAGTTCTACTGAACATCCCACAGCCGCATGTACTAGTTTGCTCTAAAGGATCACCAACAACTTTGTACTCCTTCTCAAAGGTACAATTTTCATCTAGACTGCCAATTGCCACAAGATAGCAATTGTTGCCTTCCAATGCCGTGGTGCATGCTACCATGGATCTTTCATATTCAGCTTGAAAAGCTTCGAATATGATTGGTGTGTATAGCTTGCTAGCTTGGATTAGCATAGGTGTCCTCATTTTTATTCTGGGTATTTTCTTCCTTGATTCAAATTCAGCATTTAGCTCATTTTCTCTTTTATCTTCCACCACCCTTTCAAAATGTTGAAGAAATCGAATGATATCAAAATCAGATTTGAAATGCCTCTTGAGTTCACTATTTACACTCTCACTTAACTGTGTACTTCTCATACCTAATGTGAACACATCCTTCATGTAACATTCAGCCCATTTTTCTTTCACCTTGTATATACTATCCAACCAACTTTGCTTGCTCGCCTTTGCCCTTATGGTGCTAAATGCTTGTTCAAATGTTTCCTCATCTTCGTACTCAAACATACATGCACTAAAATCTGTGAGAATACTTTGTTCTTCCTCGTTGTCTTCGGCAGTCTGTTTGGGAGAATTACTGGATTCTTCATCCTCGAGTTCAGCTACATGTTTAACAGCATTCTGCATGATATGGAAAGTGCACAAACCATGCCATGATTCTAAAAACACTTTCTTAATTGCTTTTCCCATTGCAGAATCCTGATCAGTATAGATTGTTTTAGGTTGCTTGCCATTATGTGCTTTTAGGAAGGTCTCAAATAACCACTTGAAGGACTCATATGTCTCATCATACAGTAGAACAGCACCAAAAACCATTGTTTCCCTAAACTGATTGAACCCAACAAATACACCAAAAGGCCTACTTTCCTTGTTTGTTCCAAAAGTAGTGTCAAAACTGACAACATCACCAAAATATGCATAGTCAGTGAGCATTTTAGCATCAACCCAGAATATGTTTGCTATTTGCTCCTCACTATCCATCTGCAATGCATATTGAAATGATGGGTTCTTAGCAATTTTATCTTGAAAATGCATGAGCATGCTTCCTGCTTGACCATATACCATCTCTCGTTGGCGTTTGCCCTGTAAATAATTCTTGTGGTCACGGAGAGTGTAATTGAGATTAAGTGAGCCACCAACTTGGATACTAGCCAACTGATGTGCTGCTTTGGGCCCAATGCCCGCATCGTCAGCTGTCTCAATTTCAAAACCTTGTAACTCTGAAATTTTCCTTTGAGACACCATCAAGTGCGAGGTTTCTGGCAATTGAAGGATGTGATTGTGTTCCAAAACTAGATCAGCCACTTTATAATTCCCTTTCTCCTGATCTAGCACAACACCCATGCGAACTTGACAATCGGTTCTCGTTTCAGCTCTTGGACACTTTGTTAGATGATCCCTTTTATCCTCCTTTCTATGACCCTCATTTGCACAAACATATCTGCATGACCTAACCTTTCCATCTGATTTCCTTTTGTTTGAGTACCTTTTTCTAACCTCGAAACCTTTTTGACCACCATAGCTAACCCAAAACATCCAAGCCTCATCAACAGTATTGAATTCCATGCCAACTTCAGGTAACAAACTAGGTAGCACACCCACTCTACAGGAACAAAAAAAATGATTTGGTGGTCATCGAACAAGTAAAATCTACCCGATCATGGTGAAAAAAGTAACAACCATAGCTTTACAGACCTGTTTTCTTCCATCTTAAATATGCAGATTTTGCTGGAGGCTTCTTTGATGAATTATTCCAACACTGTCTAATGGAGGAGGTGGAAGACAATCACATAATTTGCTGAAAAAAAGGAAGAGAAGAGGCCATATTACTTCACCTGTGCTTGATCAACGGTGGAATCCGTGCTGAAAAAAAAGGAAGAGAAGGGTTCAGATGATCGCCTGGCGCTGTGGCCTCGTTTGGCGCCAAAAAGGCGAGTGCGGCCGCCAAAACGCATCTGTTCGCGGTAAAAAGGAATAGGAGCGAGACAGACGGCGCTGGAGGACGAGGCTTGTTGGGCCGGCCTTGGCCCAGACTCACAACGCGGCCGTGCGCTTTTTGGGCGGACGGTTCGATCAAACGTGGACGGCTGGATGACCTCGGCTGCTCTCTGCCGTCGTGAGGGCTGAAGTCAGAGGAGCTGATTCCGGAGGGGAGGGGGGATCTTTGGGGGTTTGGATTCCGATTCCTTGTTGTTGTGCAGTTGTAGCTCAACTGCAGCTTGGGCAGTTGGGTCACAGAACCACACGATCTGAAACGGGCGGCCCAGATTAAGGGCATGTTTGGCAGGGAGCTGCAGAGCCCAACGGGGCCCTCGTTTGGCTTATTTAGGGAATATTTGCAAACGAAAATAATCTGTGAATAAAATTTTCATATGTGTGTTCTCGGTGGTTTAAAAGCAAAGGCTGAAAAATAAACTACGATGAAAAAACCCTAAAATGAACTCTAAATTTAAAGTTAAAAATTAAAATTTTGTCTTATAAGCATAAACGAAATGATAAAGTTGTAAAGCTTTAAAGAAAAGTTTAATTGGACCCATATCATTACAAATATGCCATATTAAAATTCATGCAAAATTAAAACCATGCCATCGCCATCACGTTTTCCGTCATCATATATACCAAAATACATCTAGAAGTGGGACCAACAAAGTCAGCTCTATCTTTTTCCTCCACCAACCTATCCTCTTTATTCCCCATCTCTCTTCACCTTGTTTTTAAATGCGGTGCCCAGCGAAGAGGGTGTGCCTCTATGTCATCGTCAGCGACCAAACACTTGTCAGTCCAGATCCAATTGCCCCACCACCCAAGCCAAGCCAAGTAAAAGCTGCAGAAACACACAAACATGGTACATGGTACACCGGAGACAGGTGCACGAATGGTGGTCGCAGCTGCTATCCGTCCCCGCGGAAGTAGGCCTGCCTGACCATGAACATCCCCATGGGGGCACGCATCACCGGCCAGTACGACCCGCGCGCACCTCCACGACCACCGCTCGTCACCACACGGCGCCACCCATGCCGCGAGGAATGCTCTTGCCGCGTCGGCTCTCCCTCCCTCCCGCGTTGGCTCTCCCTCTGTGACCAGATGCCACCACCGTGAGCATGAGGACGATGCCGACGTCAGGCAGCACCACCATGATGATGGTTGTTTCCCTCTCTGCGTAGCTCAATCTTAGGGGTTTAGTAAAATTTGCTAAAAAAAAGAGAAAGAGAGTAGAATGAGATGAAATAATCTGAAAAAAGAAATATGGAGGAGACTCAACTCATATAATTATATTTAGAAGTTAGATTCATATCAAATAAACCCTAAGTTAACGGTTGACTATTAACGCGGCCATCTTGCACTGGTCATAAGCAAATTCAGAGATCAGTCACGAGAGAAAATAAATTACAATGTAAGGCCCTGTTTAGTTCCCACACATAAATTTTATACTCCATCACATCGAACATTTGAATACCTGCATGAAATAGTAATTATAAGGCTTAAAAAATAACTAATTGCACAGATTGCGACTAATTTGCGAGACAAATCTTTTAATCCTAATTGCTCCATGATTTGACAATGTGGTGCTACAATAAACATTTACTAATGATGGATTAATTAGGCTTAATAAATTCTTCTCGCGGTTTACTAACGGATTCTATAATTAGTTTTTTTTATTAGTGCCCGAATACTCAGTACGACACCCTATATAATACCCGATGTGACACACAAAAACTTTACATCCCTATATCTAAACACCCCCTAAATACCATCTGCATTTACTTTGCATCATAACCAATGCTAAAAGATCAGCCATAACAATTATGTACAGCATATTAAAAACAGAGAGATTTGGAGGGAGACGGTTTTGGTAGATGAAAGAGGGAATTGCGATAGTGGATATGAAGAGGAAATTATGAGAGCGGACGTTCCTTTTAGAAGAGTAGAGTCCAAATATACTCTTGAACAAGTAAGCGTAACAGTGGAGTACTATGGTGGTGAACTTAATGGAGTAAGTTATTTTTAAGAAGAATTTTTTTTAGAAGAGGAGTTCTATGGTGGCGAAATTGGAGTGAGTTATTTTAAGAAGAAATTTTTAGAATAGTAGAATCTAAATATAGTATTGAACAAGTAGACGTAATAGAAGTTCTATGATGGCGAAGTTAATGCAGTAAGTTATTTTTAAGTAGAAAATATGTGCGTGTTAAGGATTGAACATGGAATTTTGAGGTTGAAAACACACATTTTTTGCCACTGCACTATCAAGTATATAACTCCAGCATATCAACTATGTCCAGCACTTTAAATCCTCTTCCATGACAAATCTGCGTTATCTAAAAAAATCAAGCAAGTTTTTGTTGAGCCTCACACAAGGCTGCGTTATCTTTAAAAAAAAAAAAGCAAGTCTTTTGAGCATTATTAAGCTCTCACGCAGGGCACTAAAGCTCTGTTCGTTTTTGCTTTTAGCGCCATATTTTTCGAACTACTAAATGAAAAAAATATTTTATATATGTTTTTCTAACAAATAAAATAAATTATTTTTAAGTTTATAATAGTTAATACGGATGTCCGTGCCACCCATTACCTCATCTATTCCGATGTTTTAATGCGCCCTAAGGCTCATAGTGCTACACTATTGTATTATATTTTTCTCAATATATTAATTATGTCATCCCTAGTGTATTTTTAAGTCTTAAAAGGGTATCCATGATGGTGCCAAATCATCTCATACCGTATTATTCACTTATGGCGATAGACTATTGGATGTTTTTTTTTGATTGAGGTAAATGTAAATAGTATGGTGCATTTGTCAGCTATTAACACTTTTGGATCTAAAATGAACAAGTGATATGATAATGTTATAGGGAATCACTTTGTTTTTCAAACGTAAACAGAAGATATAAAGTGTCCACTAGTACGAGCCAACCCTAATGTAAGTGATCAACACACCCCATTAGGAATGCAGAGTACCCACCTTTATCACTGTTCATTTCATGCTTTGAATCACTATATCTAACTTAGGGTGTGTTTAGTTCACGCCAAAATTGGAGGTTTGGTTGAAATTGGAACGATGTGATGGAAAAGTTGGAAATTTATGTGTGTAGAAAGTTTTGATGTGATGGAAAAATTAAAAGTTTAAAGAAAAATTTTACAACTAAATACGGCCTTACTTTACTGTCCTTCCGGTGTCGTAATGCAGAGGATTCAGATCCATTATGTCTTGTGTTTAGTATTTAGGAAAAGTTACGGAGTCTATTTACAATCACTTTTTTTTTCTAAAAAAGGTGCTAGATTGTAAAAAAATTGTACAACCGTTTTACCGCTGCTGACATGATTGTATGGTTAGCCTTTGTTGGTTTGTTATTTTTTTTTTATGTAAGCCTTTGTTGGTTTGTTGACAAATGACAACTATCTGCAGGTATCGAACTTACCGAAGCTGTAGGGGTAAACGATAGAAGTGATTTCACACTCCAAGAGGCAAATTTCGTGCTGCAGTAATGCTTGCAACAGGGTCGACAGGTGCATCCATCTTGTTGCAGTACGCCAGTACCCACTCCATGAGTGAAGAAAAATCACCTCTCAAAGAGCTCTCCACTCTCCAGAGCGACAACAGGAGGAACAAAGACTACACCTACAAAATCAAGAAAGAGATTTTCTCTCCCTCTCTCTCTTGGCTTGGAACTGTGGACTCATTCTTCATTCTTCAATGGCCAATGGAATTTGTTGGATAGGAAGAACCTACACCAGAAAAAAAAATAAAACCTTTTGAATCAAGAGTGAAGCAGCATATTTAAGGTACGCTTTATGCTTCTACTCCCTTCATTTCATATTCTAGCATTGCCCACATTCATATAGATATTAATGAATCTAAACACATATATCTAGATTCATTAACATCTATATAAATATGGGCAATGCTAGAAAGTCTTATAATATGAAACGGAGGAAGTACTTAGTTTTAATGATTAAAAGCAACAAGCCCGAGTTGACCAAAACAATGAAAGAGCTATCAACTAATTCTAAATTAAGTTCTAAAATTCAAAATTATCTACCAAAACGAGTAGTTGAGAACTTTCTGTTCAAAAGAAGAAAAAAAAAGAACACATGAAAATATCAGAGCATATGGATGCCATTTGGCAACTGCAACAATGCTTAAGAACAAAACGGCTAGTGATTCAATATCCCACCAAATGTACGCCTTATATTCATCCATCTTCCATATGTTCAAAAAAAAAAAGATCAAAACATTGTGCAGGTGGGAACAACCCACGATTCACCACCGGCCGGCCCAGGTTTGCCAGTTCTTCGCTTCCATGAAACCACAGAGCTAAAGCCTACCAAGTTTAACAAGCCCAATTTTACTATTTTTTTTTTCACATGAAGTGTTCAGATCACTAGCAAGTTTCTGCCATTTGGCTTTTCTAGGATGATTACTTAGCCAGTTAGTATCAAAATTTTGAAGCATGAGGTACAAACTATACATCAACTCATCTCGCAGCAGTGCTCTTCAAGATGACTGAGAGAAGCAGAAAATAAGCCTGTTGACTTGGTTATCTACTTCTTAGAGTTCCTTCGGTATCGTTGACCCTTCAGCGCTGTCATCCTGAGGTGGGAAGAGTAGTTCCTTGATGCCGCTAACAAGATCTTTGGTTTCCTGGTTGTGCTTGATAGAGTTCCTTTCATAAGTCTGCAGTGTATTCACAATTCCAGCACATCAACACAAACTTCGGCAACAATTTCAACTATCATTAGGTACAATTCAAACAGGCATGCAGCTATTTTGATAACTCGCGAGACATATGTAGATATTGAGTATATAATTACTGAGTACCTCTGAAGACCACAAGTTATCGCCTTTTCTACGGGGAATGAGGTGAACATGAGTCTGCAATAATACATTTCTCTTAGAAAACTTGATATGCACAGACAGACATTCTACATTGAGAAGCTTAATTAGACAAAACATCTAGGGTGGGCAATTATAGAAAGTATGATGTTTTACTCACGTGAAAAATAACCTGCCCTGCTACCTTTCCATTGTTGACAAGCACATTGAATGCATCTGTACATGTTACAAAGATTTTATAAGTCAAAGCAAAGTAATATATGTTGGCGTAAAGTAGAAAAATATTTTGGCATATACAAGGGAATCAAACACAGTCCAACACAAGGGAACTATGTCTCATCTGGCACATATAAATATATCCTCAACATCAAGGAGACAAGGGTTTAACCCAAAAAATAGAATGAATGGGATCAGTTCTAGCATTTTTGTTTCTAATATATATGATATTCAGTTTTAGATTGCTTGAAAGGTCAACTTGAGAAGGAAGAAACATAGAATATGAGTTATCTAATTTATTTATGTACAAAATGCCACAAACAAGACTACATTCATCATTGCACTGCTAATATAGTAGTAATGTATAGTCTAACAAATATTTAACATGTAGGTGGACAATGGGAAACTTGGAAAGGTCCCGCACAGACAATACTTACAAGACAAAATGGGGCAGAAAGATAAAGATAGAGCTCAGAAGATTTTCTACATAGTTTTATTAAACTACTTTACACGAGCAAAGCCACTTTTGGCATTCTTTAGTGCCATCAGAGGACAGTGCAAAACACCAGCATAATTGTCCTAACAATTGCAAAGTTGTAGGCTTGTAGTGCACATACCACATTGAGTAGCCTTCACGATTGCACTGGAAATAAGTGGGAGTTTACAACATATAGCTGCTATTACCTGTATTTTTTTTTAAAAAAAAAATCAAACCAGAGAAATTTCCCAGTTGTGTCAAGTAGAGGTAAAGCAAAACAAGCAGCATGCAATTTCTAATGACTCCTATCGTGCAATGTTTACTAATTACTATCAAACACAGAGTAGACAACAAATGGAATGAAACATATAATGCTTTTATAGGGGTTACAAGTAATTACTGAGAAGAGAATATGCCCCAATACAAGATAATAATTTAACTTCATAGGGGTTTGCTAATATTATCAATAAAAAAAAGTGGTCAAAGTTGTATTTTGAAGACTGTTCCATGTCCAAAAAGACATGTTCTCGTGGCCAGAATGGGTATATGGTAATCTGCAAAATCTCTGTCCTATAAATTTTGTTAAAATGTAAATGTTCATGTACGGTCTGCATAACTATCAAGATCATTGTCATCATAACCAAAACTTACAGATGGCGGTGTTGCCTGTAGTGATGGAAAGTGACGTTTTGGAATGATCAGTGAATGCCTACAATTGTAAACAGAAAGGACTGATCATGAGTTAAGCGCAAAAGCATCTTGGCATGTGAAAAGGAACCAATTCGTTAAATCTCAGATAGAAATACTATATAAGGGTAGATTCAATGCAGAAATTATTTAATCAGTCAGTTGGCCCAAGCTGCCCAGAGTTGCCGCATTATTCAAAAATACTTTGGAACTAATTCACCACATTTTATGCAATCTATATTCAATTTGTAATAGTTTCTATTAACTTTTGTTCTGTTCTGTCAAAAACAGGCATTAGAACATAAATCTGCAACCAGTATCAGAATCACAACAATGCAAACTTTTCTTCATAAAACTGATATATCAGCTCTTCCATTTCGTAGTTTAAGTATTAAAGACTAAAGAGTGTTAAAGAGGTCAAGACAAGAAAGGACCGAGAGACAACTAGTAGAGCAGCCGAAGAGGATGGCTTGAGGAGGGAAGCAAGAATAACATCCATTAAGCAAAGGCTATGACAACAGAGGTCTGAAACTACAGCTCTCAGTGAGGCACAGACATTTTTATCATTCTGACTCTGATATTCTATCTCTAAGCACAATTATTAGGTTAACATGAAAAACATCACTGGTTCTTCCATGATTGGCTTCCCAATCCTTCAAATTTACCCCTAAATATTCAGTTTGGCTTCAATTTGGACTAGGGATTGACCCAGCAATATGGCCGATCATCTCATCCCCACAATGATCATACAGCAAGCCACATCAACAGCAAACTGGCCAAAAAAAAGCTATGTTGTACACCACTATCAAATAGGTAAATTGAGGTTTCAGCGAGCAGAACCATTATCTTGTTCTTTTAAGTTTTATAAGCAAAGTAGCTATGATTGCAAATACAATAAAATATTTGACCAATACTGATGCAACTTTAAACTTTATTATTTCCCATTTTTAAACGGTCTTAATACTAGGGACCATGATATGACCAATGGACCATCATACTAGACTAACTGGCAACAAACATTTGGTGGCATCAAGCACATGCTCAAATTCGATTGATGAAAAATGACATTCACATTTCCAATAATTTTGGGGAAAAACATGCAAATTCATTTCTCACAAAGGGATCTTTACATCAAGATTAAGATGGCATACAGACTACAAAACATTAGTTCCTTCACAATTTTACAAACTGCAAAAGCAGAAAAAAATGGTTGATGTAGTAAGTATTTAAATTTTCCAACAGATCAAATAATCATGCCCAGACATCCAGCAGTCGTATTTTACATTGATCATTAATGATGTCAAACAAATGCAACATCTTAAATGTCTCATACTTATTGAACACATGAATGTAAAGCACCCCAATACAGCATAGAGTATGCACATCCAAGCAGAACCAGGAGTTAATCATGTTGACCTGACGCACTATGTTAAATTTGTACTCTCTCCGGTTTCATTTTAATTGACGTTTTGGACAATGACACGGTCTACAAGATATATCTTTAACTTTATTTTTCTACTATAATATATATAATAAATAAATGCATGTTTACTTTTATTATAGTGCTTTAAAAGACAAATCTATATATGTTGTTCTAGTTCCTTTAAACTAAATATTTTTAAAGTTATTGATGGACAAAGTTATAAAAGTTTGACCTCAACCTTGTCCAAAACGTTAATTAATATGGAACCGGAGGGAGTAATGAACTAGTAAAAGCATCAATGGCATGCAATTTACTGAACTACCAAAAACCAAAACCACCATACCGGACCAGTAGCAATATTACAGCATTGGGAGATGTACAATTCAATTTCATCAACTGAAAATGAGTACAAGACGTAACTATGCAACCATCACACAATTGATGCATGGTATAACGTGTTGCCACGTGTGCCTTGCATACTTCAACAACATGGAAAATATGGAGTATTATTATTTTTTGTTCAACCCACCACATTAGTGAAATGAAAAAAAAAACAAAGTGCCATCTATATTGCGCACATGAAGAATACATGCAGCACATAATCCAACACAATGGAGAAGTTAGCGACGTACCATGCAGGCATGCACAAATCACAAATGCACGATCAGTTTATTCATCCAAACGGAATCTAGCACTTATTCATTCATGCCTACTCATCGGCGACACAATCAAAGGTGTTAAAACTCAACCAAATTTCACTAGAAATTTAACAAGAGAGACAAAACGAGTCATGGATTTTAAAAGTTGCAGAGACGAAATCGAGAGCGAGGACACGCAACTAGCTAGCGCCTTACCCAGTGCTCAGTGGTTTGGTGTCCAGGATGCACAAGCACACATCGTCCTCGTAGAGCTGCAACCACACAAAAACACCAAAACGATTAGTGACGCGAAAGAAAAAATGTTGATGCGCAGAGAAGGTGAGAGCCTTCACCGCACGAAATGGCGGAGAAACGCGAATTGAAGAAGCAGAGAAACCCGAGACCAGAGCAGGGACGGTGACTGAGCAGCTGCGCTGCGCGTGAGTAGTACCTTGTAGGCTGGCTTGTTGCCCTTCACGATCTCGCAGAACACGCAGCGCTGGCCTCCCGAGGTCTCCCCGCTCCCGTCGGCGGCGCAGGGAGACGCGGCGAGGCCGCCCGTTCCCTCCGCCTCCCGCACCCGCAGGTCGTGGTGGTGGTGGTGGTGGTTGCCCCGCCGCGCGGCCGGCGGCGCGCACGGGCGGAGGTGGGAGAGGAGCACCCCGAGGCGCCGCTCCTGCACCGGCGCCCCCGAGCTCACCGGCGGCGACATGGGGCGCGGCGGAGGCGGCGGCGGCGCGCGCCCGTGTGCTTTGGAGTTCGTGCGCGGCGCGAGGAGAGAGAGAGAGAGAGAGAGAGAGCGTGGTTGCTTCCTCGTGTGTGTGGTCTCTGCGTTTTATCCGGAAGCGTGGGGCCGTGTGGGCCACGTGGGCCCCACGGATATGTCACTGACAGGTGGGTCCAGGAAGTGTTTGATCGGCCTCCTGGGCCGCCTGGTGACCTGGTCGGGCCCACCGGGGTTTGTCTGGTGCTGCGGAGGCAGAGAGTTCGCGGGGGTGATACGTGTTACTGCCACTGACATGTGGGGTCAGTTTTGTGGAGGTGGGGTCCACTGCCAGTGAGGTTGCGTGCTTTTTTGAGTGGGGACCATGCGCTGTTGCGGAAGACGCCAGTAGCGGTTGCAAAGCGTGACGTGGAATACGGGATACTAGCTCATGCTCACTGACAGGTGAGAGAGGCTCCCATCGGATGGTCTAATAAGCCAAAAAAAAAAAGCTAAAATTTAAATTTTCAAGCTTAATTTTAATATTAATTTTAAGATATTTTTAATATATTTTTTTCAATATTAGCTTTTAAGTCACTAAGAACACATTTATAAAAGTTTTACCTACAAATTCATTTTTATTTTCTAATAAGCCAAACGGCTTATTAGAAAATAAGCCAAAGGATGGTGACTAGAGGGATTTCGTTGGCTTTCCCTTGCACGTGGGGCTTATTAAAAAAATGATACTAATAATGATATTATTTTCTACTAATAGATATCATAGAGTTGTTTTTCTTCTTTATTTTCTGATGATTTTTTTTGTATTTTCTTTGTTTTCCTTTGAAAATCTATTAGATTCTATGTGAATCTCTATAATAAGATGATACTTTTCTAAAGTACAGCCTCCATTTCATATTATATGTCATTTGACTTTTCTCTTAGCTAAAGTTCTTTATGTTTGACTAAGTTTATCGAAAAAATATAGCAACATCTATAACATGAAATTAGTTTCATTAAATTTAACATTAAATATATTTTGATACAATGTTTGTTTTGTATTGAAAATATTGCCATATTTTCCTACAAAATTAGTTAAACTTAAATAACTTTGACTATAATATTTACTTCATAAGTACTCCCTCCATCAAACTTTTTAAGCCATGAATAACAATATTATCAAAGTTTCAAACTTTTTGCTTGAAATTGAAAACCTCAATGTCAAATCAGTCTTATTTTTTTCAACATGTATAAAATTATTCTAAAAGATATTGAGAAATAGGAGATAGGTTATAATGCATCCATAAATCTTACTTCCTCCGTTTCACAATGTAAGTCATTTTAGTATTTTCCACATTCATATTAACAAAATGACTTACATTGTAAAATGACTTACATTGTGAAACGGAGGGAATACCAAATAGTTGGATGCATTATCCAAAAAAGAATTGATAGTAAGCTGAACCATTTCAATAGTTTGGAGACTAAAGTTTAGAGGTTTCCGGCGAAATATACTCCTAGGTCAGGGAGTAAATGGACTTCTGTTTTTTTCCAAAGGAAAAGCATAAGTTGTAATTTTCCTTGGGCTGGGCTAGCCCACTACTCATCAGCCCACGTTAACACGCGTTCTCCGGTGGCCGAGTTCCTCTTCCTCTCCGGCGTCTCCGCCCGCCGTCTCGTCTCGTTTCTCATCTCAAAATTTCGCGCCTCGTCGCCGCGCCGCGCGGCGGGCATGTCTTGACGGAATCGCGTCGACGCACAGGCACCGGGGGCCATGGCGCCGACGCCTCCCGTTCCACTCCCCAACCCGGCGGGGTCGGCGGCGGCAGCGGTTCTGCCCCGGCCGGCGTGGAACACCAACCGGAACCTGGTGGTGACCCACCCGCTGCTCTCCCTCCTCGAGTCGTGCGCCTCCTTCCGCCGCCTCCTTCAGCTCCACGCGCTCCTCACCGTCACGGGCCTCGCCGCGCACCGCTTCCCGGCGTCTCGCCTCCTCGCCTTCTGCGCGCTCTCCACGCCGCCGCGCCTCGCCCACGCCGCCGCGATCCTCGCCCGCGCATCCCCGGGGCCCAACGCCTACATGCTCGGCACCATGATGCGGGGCTTCCTCCGCGCCCGCCTCCCCGCCCGCGCGCTGGGCCTCTTCCGCCGCGTCGTCCGGGATCGCCTCCCCGCCGACGCGCGCACGTTCGTCTTCGCGGTCAAGGCCGCCGCCGCCGCCGCCGAGTCGGAGCACGGTGGAACCCCCTCAGGCGGCGAGGCCATCCACTGCGCGGCCCTCAAGTGCGGGTTCGTTGGCGAGAGCGTGCTCGTGGGGAACGCGCTGGTACACTTCTATGCGAACCACAAGTCACTGGATGATGCAGGCAAGGTGTTCGATGAAATGCCTGAGAGGGATGTTGTCTCTTGGACGACGCTGGTGGATGGGTATGCACGGGCAGGGTTGGCTGACGAGGCATGGAGGCTGTTCTGCAGGATGGTTGTTGTTGGAGGCATGCGGCCTAACGCGGTGACGCTGGTGGCTGCTGTCTCCGCGATTGGTCAGATGGGGTTGCTAGCTTTTGGGATCATGCTGCACAAGTATGTCACAGAGGGTGGTGTTGCTCGGAGTGTCAATTTGGATAATGCGCTGGTGGATATGTTTGGGAAGTGTGGGTGCGTGAGATATGCAAGGGAGGTTTTTGATGGCATGGAGGTTAAGGATGTCTACTCCTGGACGAGCATGGTTAATGCATACGCTAAGTGTGGTGATTTGGAAAGTGCAGAACAGCTATTCAAGGATATGCCCAGGAGAAATGTGGTTTCTTGGAGTTGCATGATCGCAGCTTACTCACAGTTGAATCAACCTGAAGAAGCAGTATGGTTATTCAGGGAGATGATTGCAGCAGGTGTGGATCCAATTGATGCTACCCTTGTGAGTGTTCTGTCAGCGTGTGCTCAGTTAGGTTGCTTGGATCTTGGCAGGTGGATATATGAGAACTACATTGTGAGTAATAAGATTGGGCTTACTGTTAATTTAGGTAATGCGCTCATTGATATGTTTGCAAAATGTGGGGATGTAGGTGAAGCATCAAAATTATTTGATGAGATGGCAGAGAGGAACGTAGTGAGTTGGAACACTATGATCATGGCCCATGCCGTGCATGGTCAGTCTGAAGAAGCTATTCGTCTCTTTGAGCAGTTGAAAGGAGAGAATATTGTGCCTGATCAGATCACTTTCCTGGGATTGCTTGCTTCATGCAGTCACAGTGGGTTAGTTTCGGAAGGACGACGATATTTTAAAGAAATGGAAATGTTTTATAGGATTGAACCCAGGGTAGAACATTATGCATGCATGATTGATCTTTTGGGTAAAGTTGGGCTTCTGGAAGAGGCATTTGAAGTTGCAAGGGGTATGCCGATGGAAGCTGATGAGGCTGGTTGGGGTGCTCTTCTAAATGCATGCAGAATGCATGGGAATGTAGAGATTGGTGCATGTGTTGCAGATAAGCTTGTAGAACTGGATCCTTCAGACAGTGGAATCTATGTACTTATGAGCCAAATATATGCAAGTAAAAATAAATGGGATCAGGTGAAGATGCTGAGAATGACGATGAGAGATAGAGGGGTAAAGAAGAATCCTGGCTGTAGCTCTATCGAGGTCGAAGGAAAATTCCACGACTTTTTGGTGGCAGATGTTTCACATGCATGTTCAGAAGAAATCTATTCAGCATTGAAGAATATTTACTTCCATTTAAAACAGGAAGGTTATGTTCCCCCAACTTGACTGTGCTGAAAACTCCTTGTTCTTCGTCATTCATGAACCTCTTAATAGCCTTCACTGTAGAAGGAAAAGGAAATTCTACCAGAAGACAAGATTTTACTAATCTAATGCTCAGCTTCCTGCTGACAGACTTTTATTAATGCCCTACCTTACGTTCATGAATAATGGCCTGGAGCTGAGCTGGAAGTGAGATAAAATTTGTACTGTCTTCATAGAGGTATATGTCAAATGGGCAGAAAAAAGGTAGTGCAAATCTGATGAAGGATTGCATGTACTGTCTTCATAGAGATGTATGTCATGCGATGAGGCTATTCTTGATTTTTGTAAGATATGTCATGGCAAGGAACTATAGGGAACTTGATTGAACCCAGGTTTCTTTCTTTTCCTTTTTCTTATAAACAAACTGTAAGTTCTCATTGAGGTTCTTGTTATCTCTGTTTTTATAATGTAAACACTCTGTTTATTATGCAGACAGTTTTAGATGGCATTGCTACGGAGCTTTTACTGGGTGAACCAGATCCTCTGCAATCCCCTTAATTCACATCCAGGAAAGCCTTCTTGAGGTGATCAGTTCCAGGTATATTGCATGAGATTTTTCTACTAGAATGGTTATGAGGATGGAAACCATATAACTAATGCTACCGTATGCTGTTCCCCCATTTTTGTGTGATAATAAATGCATCTATTTGGCATGGAAAAGAACCATACGAAATTAAGAATCAACAAACTCTGATACCCTGTAGCATTGATATGTTTAGGGTTAATAATTGGCTTAACGATTACAAAGCACACTGATGGAATAATATCATTCTGATTCTGTGCCTGCTTTACTGTTCTGCTTGAAGGTGTGCACTGATCATTTAGATACTTTGTAAATGCCACACCTGTAGAGTGTAGACTTGTACTTTACTGACTGTTTGATATTGACAAGACCACTCATGAATCGACTTCTCATTTTCTCTTGGACCATTAGTGCAGTAACAATCGTCTAGTACCTCTGCAGTATTAGTTGGTTATGGCTGAGCAAGTTCGTTCCAGTCATAAATGTGAACTAATAAGCTGTTCCCTTCTCTGCGGTGACCTAGATTGTGTACCCCTGAAGGCCTATCCAGATTCATGGATGTACAACTGAAACCACCTAACTTTCTTGCCAACAAGCCGCTTAATATGGTATAAACGCCAAAACCCCAATTGAATGCTGCCTTTGCGGCGTATTTACACCCATCTCCGGTACATTGTGGCACCACAGATCACTTCACAGAAACATGTCAACCATTCATGGGTTGCAACTCCAGGTTCACTGTGCACAATTTAACCCGGCACATGTTCACTGCTCACCACCACCACCACCATCTAGCTCATAAATCATCTTCTATTCTGCCACATAGATGAAACACCTAGCTTAAAATGTTCTGTGACAAAGAAACAGAACTTTTCTACCTAGAGCCAAAGGTGTGAGAGCAGATGATCCACGCCCTGATTGCTGGGGAAATAGGCGATGAGAATGGTAGGCCGTGTGGTGTACTGGCCTGACGACCTGCTTGGACATGTCCACATGAAGATTGGACGCCTTGCCTTCCCTGGGGGAGTGCCCTGGCTTTAGTTTCTCAGGACTGATGTATGCATAGCTTTGCGATCTGCACTTGCACACTGCAACAACTCCCTCCCTCCCCACCTAGCTAGGACCCTTGAACTTTTTGCTAGCTTTATGCAGTATCACTGTAGTTCAGGCTGTTATCCTCTCGAGTCAGTGCTTAAACCCCCGTGTGTTTTGGGGATGGGAGGCAAGGGAAAAGTGATCGGATAGAATGTGCTACAAAGGGAGTAGTAGGTGTGGCATTCATGGCCCTCTTCACTCGGCCCAAATCTACCCTCTAACAGTTTGCATTCTTGAGCCATGGCAGATCGACAGTCATGGCCTGCTTGCCTCCCGCTGCGGCGCCGAAGAGCTCGGCACCACCCTTCCTTAATGGAGAAGACGAGAGCAAGGACGATACATTCACTGCCCAGCTGATTGCCTCAGTTTCATTGAAGCCAGCAGAGCAGCGCAGAGCTGTACTGCTGCGCGGTGCAGTGTACTCGGATCCTAAGCCATGGCGATGCTGCACCCGTCGTCCTCTTCTCCAAGCTGCAACAGTAAGTATACTCGCACATATAGTGGAAAGCATTCATCTCTAGTAACTAGCTAGCACATCTATCACCATTACTATTAACTAATTGATTGATTAATAATAATACATTTATATTGCCTCCTCCTCACCCTCACCATTCTATGTCAAAGTCCCTGGATTAACATAGTGATCAATAGTCCTTCCCTCAAACAGTACTAATTGCCCACGTGCTACTAGGGTTTTTTCTTTCTACAGCCACCTGCCCTTTGAGCACGGGGGCATGCATGCAAGCAAGCAAGCACCAACTGCTAGCTAGACTGCCCTAATGGAGAAGGCTCAAGGTCTCCAGCGGCTTGACGGCGTCGAGCTTGCGGTGCGGCAGGGCCGGCGGCGGTGGCGCCAACGGCTGCACGAACTTGCAGTTGGGACAGGATGGGGAGGACTTGCAGAGCATGACGAGGAGGTGGCAATTGACACAAGGCACGGCCACCATGTTGCCTCCAGGTCCAGAGCTGACGATGGTGCCACCCTTCTTTGTCTCCTCTGCAACAACAGCAACAGCAACTGGAGTAGCAGCAGCTCCGGTGCTTCCTCCATCGATAATGGTGGGGACGACGACGACGGTTGGCTGGGTAGTCGAGATGTTGAGCTCCAGGTTCACGCTCTGCTCCTTGGGCCTGATCCAGCTTTTCTTCAAGGTCTTCCTGTTCAGGTAATACATCCTTCCAGACTGACAGAATCATATATACACATGGCATTAGAAAAGATAAACAACGGGGACTATTACATCAAATGATAAGCCAATCATGGCAGCATCATATCATACAACAAGTTTTGCATCTTTTGGACGTTGAGCAAGTAGCTAGATATCACAAGTGGCATCATGCACGTTGAATTAAGCTGCATGCGTTGCCCACCAATATCCATGTGGGTGCTGCTGGTCTATCTAGTTGCTCTGCTACTTCTGCCAGCTCAATATTACGTCAGTTTCACGTACGCACGTGCCATGGCGGTGGCAGGTGGACACTTCTAAGAATAGGAGTTGCACGCCATAAATTATATATTTCTTAAAACTATTGTTTCAGAGCCAGGAGCTATAGCTTGCATCAAGGCATAAACACACGACAAGATAAGCTAATTATAATACTATATATGAAGTATAATGTGCAATGTATCATGCTTATACTTAACTAGCTAGTAGTAGGAATATTACAATCATTAACAAGTCTCTGCACTAAATTGTTTTTCATAACTATATGTTTAGATGTTAGTGTGATGGAGAGGAACTCACTTGCAGGTCAAGGCACTGCTCCCAGTCGAGGGGCAGGGGGTCATTGAGCTGGAGCTCCAGGTTGGCGTGCGACACGGGCTCCTCCCAGGTGAAGTGCTTCCTCTTCTTCCTGGAGCTGCCGTCTGACTCCGACGATGAGCTCTTGGTGCTCTTGGTGGTGGAGGAGACGAAGCCTGGCGCCGGCCACGTCGGCCCTAGTGAGAGCTCCGGCTGCAGCTCCATCCTCTTCACACTCAGGTACTTCTCCACTCTAAGGAATTCAGTGGTCATCTTGGCTGATGATGCTAGCTCCTGCTCTTATATACACACACAAGTAGTTCTAGGGTGTGAGCTCTTGAGAGCTAGTTGTAGTACTAAGAGATGGAGGAGAAGAGAATTCAGTGGAGGGAGGGGGGACTGCTTCTCTTCTACAATGGGCTTTTGATTGATGGGGTCATGCAGGGGAGGGCGTGGACACTAAAGAAGGGTTCTTAAATGGCCTTCATCCAACCCCATTAAGGGGAGGGCAGGCCGGGCATTGAAGATGACAAGTAGAGTGACCTTAAATGACTCAAATCTCTCCACCTCCTCCCCATTTAAGGCGGCCTTGCGCTGCTCTACATGCCCGGACTGTACACGTCATAATGCCACACCCAGCCCAGGAGAGCCACCACAAAATCTACAAGGCCCCTTGCTTGCCTTGTAAGTTGTTGTGTAGGGTGGTAGTAGGATTCGAGCAAGATCAGCAGCTGCTGCCCAGCTCAGGCGGCAGCAGCAGCAGCAGACGCCTGTAACTGAGGTGATGTTGGTGGTTCTGTTCAGAAGTTAACACTACAGCACTGGACTTGGAGTTAAGGAAAGCGGACCCCCCTCCCTGAAGATAGAGCAGTTCAAAGAATACTTAGGATTCTCCGCTTAATATCAGTTCAAGATTTTGCTCGCTCCAGGGCTTTGCCTATTCGATTAGCATGCATTTGCATGGGGTGGTAAAAGCTGCAGTGCCATGCCACTCATACCACTGGATGCAATCTCTGTGAACAAGGAATTAACAGTGCACAGAATTTAGTGCAACTTCCTGCCCAATGGAAAAATAAAAAACCGGTGCATGTTAGTTGAACCACAAAGGCCATCTATTGCTCCAATAGTGCGCTACTGGATTTCAACAGCACAGAAGTGAGGATAGCTAGCGTGTGACCTTGGACATGATGGCTCAATTCATGGTGATGGACACTAGAGTGAAACCTACAAGGCAGAGTCCTCCATATCTTAAAATCTCTCTTGTACCGTCTGACCATCATACTTCTACACCTACACCATTAACTACGTTGTAATCATGAACTGCTTCTTGTGGGTGAGCATTCATGGCTTTTGCACCCTAACTCTAATTCTCATAAAGAAGAAGCAGGGGGAGTGAGGGGCGCTGATGCATAATAAAAACTGAAGTCTAACCATCCAAGCCCCATGCAGTAAATAGGCCAAGGCATTAGGAAGGAATAAATAAGGCTTGTTGGGCCTTCTACTCCTCACCAGTGCCAACCACGACAATAAATAGAGGCGCCTCTCTCTTTGGTTGTTGGAGGCATGAATCCATTTAAGTTTTGGTGTTCTATCTTTCGCTATTAATTCGACCGGACGTCCTGTTGATTTGATGTCGTCTATTCTTCTTTGACAGGCTGATCATGAGTTAATGGAGCACCATCAAGTGTTTTGACAGTTTTCTGGAGCAGGATCTTTTGCAAACGATGTGTGTAAATTGGTTGTGACCAGCAAAAACTTGTGCTTCTCCATGGTATGCTTGTCATGCACTCATCATCTGGCAATTAAACTTCATTGTACTTCTCAATAAATATATAAGTTCACCAATGTAGTGTTTGTATCTGCTAAATCTTTTGTTCACCTTTCTTGTTGGAAGCTATTCTATAGTTTATTAGTGCTAGTTTGTAATTAATAGACTGCGTAAAGCAAAATTATTTTTCAGGAAGTCATTGCATACCTGTAAGAACTGTTGGTTGCTCGTTGTGAAGATTAGAGGGATGAATTAGTACAACAGCCAGACCTATGTGCCTACCTACATTTATAATTTGAAGACCATACCGATATAGGTATCTTTTTGGTTCGGAGTTTGATGATTCTTTTGATAACTCTTATGTGGATAAGAATTAAGACATTATACAACCATATCATTGTCGATACAGCATTCTAAATTATTCCTCTATACCTCGGTTATAAAATATTTAAGGGTTGTTCAGATTGTAGCCAAAATAAACTTTACCAATGCCAAAATTTTGGCAATTTGACAATATTGATAAAATTTCGGCAGGATTTCTTATATATTTACTAAAGTTTGGCAAGAAACTAAATAGATGCACATATTTAGCAACTCTAGCAAAATATAGTATGGTTTGAAATAGCATCAATCTGAACAAGCCCTTACTCTACTGTCATGGGATACGTGGTTTCACAATCCTCTTAGTGAATTAAAAGTGTAGCTATTGAAATATGTTCACTCCGCGCCCCTGCTTCAATGTTGCAAAAAAAAAAAGTTGTAACATGCCATTTAGTAGGGGAATATATGATTCAACATCATTATGTTTTTGTTCTGTGTGTGTGATTTGCTCAGACTATGTTGCATAACTGATTCACCTAAATAAGCATAAATGATGATGGTATGCGAAATAAATAATTTTAGTTTGACCTTAACAAAATAAGCATGATATGCAGAATAAATAATTTTAGGTTGACCTTCAAAATAATTGTGATAAGGATATCTACTTCACATATCTTTCATTGAATGCCCCTCCATATTTTTATTTCAGACAATAAATTGAGGATGAACCCATGAGGTATGTGCGCTTAGTCAAGGATGCATGCTGGTTATTCTTGACTTGCCAGTCGGTTTTCATCAGTTATTGTCATATTAATCATGCGCCTGAAGTGGCCATTAGATACGAGCTCTGCAGCACATAATAAACCACTGCAGGTAGGGGTGGACAAAAAAAACTCGAAACTCGTGGCTCGGATCGGCTCGTAGCAAGCTCGGCTCGGATCGACTCGAACTCGTAGTCTTAATGAGTTGAGTCGAGCTAGCCTTTTAGCTCGTGAGCTTGACGAGCTAGCTCGCGAGCTGCTCGTTTAGCTCGTTAGTATAAAATATCACCAAATCTTCATGAACTTAATGTTTATTGACTAGTGCTTAGTCTTTTATTTACATAAAACTATTCATATTTAGTATGTACTATATTAGTTAGTGTTTATTATTATGTTAATACATAATAAAATGGTAAATTTGAAATTATTAATATGATATTAATAAGATATAGCTCGTTAATGAGCCTAACGAGCTTAACGAGCCAGCTCGCGAGCCGAGCCGAGCTAGCCTTTTAGCTCGTTAACATTAACGAGCCGAGCCGAGCTGGCTCGTTAACATAACGAGCTTAAATGAGCCGAGCTGGCTCGTTATCCAGCCCTAACTGTAGGTATGCCCCAGGGATAATTATTTTCCCTTTTAGGTTGCTTATCAGTTCTCTTTTCACTTCCGGATATGTGGATAAATAGTTTCTCCACTTTGCTTATGACAAATAAGAGGACATACTGTTTACTGCTTACTGAATGGCATACATGAGATCTTTGTAGGGTTTCTGTTGTTTGCAATGATGATGTCAAGTAGATCAAGAGGGGATCCTTGAGACCGGCAGCAAGAAGGAAGCTGGGGACTCGCGGGTTGATGGGAGATTCTACTAAATATAATTCAATTGATCTGGTTCCATAAGCTGAGCGAGACGAAGCCCACATGTTAGTGACGACAAACATGATAGACCCACCTGTCAGTGGCAGTGTGGCACCACGATGGGCTTCAACAGCGACAGGTGAAGTATATATCTAATTATCTACTCCCTACGTCCCATAAAAAACTAATCTAGTACTGGATGTGATATATCCCACTATGAATCTGGTACTAGGATATGTCACATTCAGTCCTAATTCGTTTTTTTGACAGAGGAAGTACTACCAGCTACATCGAAATCAGCTTCCGATGTCGTTATCTATTTTCCGAAGAGTGTTTTTGCTTGCAGACCAGACGATGATGATAAAAGATGCTCGCATGTGTGCGTAAATTAATATGGTCCATGCCGGGCGGCCCCTGCGTGTGTGATGCGGTGCGGTGTGTTGCACAAATTGAAGGAGCTCGCCTATGTTGTTGGGTGGCGATTGGCGTTGGCCCCCCCATTCCGAGGCAGTGAATGGATGGACGGACAGGCAGTACTTTGGCCCCCTATTTATGTGATGTGAGCGACTTCTACTTTGACAGGACGTTCGCATGTGGTTTTCCTGCCATGGAACCTTCTCAAGCCTGCCATGGATTTCATCGTCCACTGCATGGTGCCTTTCGTCGCACTTCTCTTGCTAACACAACCTTGATGATCTTCAAGTGCAAACTGCAATCAGATCGATCAATATCTGTTTTTGCTCAAATTAAGTACCATTCAAAACTGTTCAGAATGCAGAGGTTGGTCTGTCTGTCTGTCTGTCTCTTGTGAAAAGAATATGAATCAGCAGTGGTGGAGGTGAGCTCAGATTGGAAGTGGCCAAATACTATGCATGAATTCGGCAACTGGTAAATTTTCTTGTTCTTTCCCCTCCTTTCCCTATTCATCTCCTTCGTTTTTGACACGCGCTCTTTCCAAACTTCTAAATAGTGTTTTTTATAAAAGAAATTTCTAAACGAAAGTTGCTTTAAAAATCATATTAATTTATTTTTCAAAAAATAGTTAATACATAATGAATTTATGTGCTAATGAGTCACTTTGTTTTGCGTGCGTGAGGGATTATTTCCTAACACCAACAAAAGAACACAGTCTAAGTGTTGTTGCTTAGGGCAAGTTTTATAGTAGAGATGATTACCACATTTAATTTCGTGCATGACATACACCATTAAATTAAGATGTGTAATAAGTTACATCTACTATACAATTTTCAATATCTCTAACACTCACATCCTGTTTATTTACTGTGCAATTGCACAACTGTTGACCAACCATTTTCAAGCTTGTTAACCAGTAAGCACTGCTGCTTATACTGTGCAATTTGGACAATCATATCCATAGCGTTTCGTCGGGACAATAGAGCAGAGCTCTCTCCATACTGATTGGACGTTTCAGACATGATGAACTCTTCTTGTTCTCACATTTTACCAGGAGTTCCTTAATTACACCCATGGACTTCAAGACCATTAATTTATATAATATGCGCCATACTATTACACATGCATGCCCAATCATCGCAGTGCATGCTACTGCTTCCGATTTGGTTCCAAGATTCGTCATGCTTCCTGTCGGTGAAGTACAGGAGGAACTTATTATCTTCCACTGCTCATGCACATCATTTGCGTAGACCAACATATCAATAGGGTTACGTGTGCACAAATGCAGCCTCCAGTGGATTATAATCCAAAAAATGGAGTAATATTTTTGATTTTTAAGAATAATTTTAGATAGATTGTTTTCTTGCCTTAGCAATAGAAGTGATGAAGATAAACCCGTAAACTTGGGCTCTGTTTGGATAATGGGTTAAAAGGGGTGGGATTGGGATAGGGATGAGTGGAGGGTTGAGATGAAACGAGATACGTAGAATGAACAGTTAGAATTAAAAATTACCCTTCCAGAAGGTGAGATAAGGTTTCTCCATCCCATTATCCAAACATGGCCTTAATTCTAAAATAACTTTCTAAGATTTCAAAATTAGGATTATAGCTGAGGGCTGATGCCAAGGTCCTGTTTGACTAAGATGATAACTGATGGCTGAAATTGAGTTTATGATAATTCTTTGAGGAAAGTTGAAAACATGTTTTAAAAAAAATTTCTAAGGAACATTAATGGGGAATAACATGCTAGTTTGGTTTGAAACTAAATTTTGTCCTTATAAAATATTGCTACCTAAATAAACAATATTGATAGTGTCAAACACTTGGCAAATTTTTCGTACTACCATATTTGGTAGAGTAGAACTCTCTACTACAAAATTGAAACCAAACCATTATTTATATAATACTATTATAATGCTAAAATTTTAGTAGGGTAAAAGTTGGCTTCAATAAAAAAAAAAGGGCCCAGCATCCATAGGCGGTGAGAAGAAAAAGGACCGAATATAATAAATAGTGCAGCAGTAGCATTACAGATGAACCATTAACATATATGCAAACTAGCAAAATACTCATGCTTATTTGAATATATGTTATTCACTTGATTAAAAAATATTATTCACTAATTTGTAAAATACTTCATCCGTTTCATATTATATGACTTTCTAGCATTGCCCACATACATATAGATGCTAATGAATCTATATACATAGATTCATTAGCATCTATATAAATGTGGACAATGCTAGAAAATCTTATAATATGAAATGGAGGGAGTATGTAAAAGTTGGTGAGAGTGAACCAGTGACAGAAACAACAATATCACTATTGTTTTTATAGTAGTATATCATATGAAAAATGCATACTGTAAGTATATACTCCGTCCATCCAAAAGAGTTATACATATTATTTCGATAAGACCAATAAAAAATTAACTCATCTAAGATGAATATGCATGTAAACAATCAGATAACTTCTTAGGTTCTAATTAAACATTTAATTTATCTCTTTATTTAAGTTTTAAGTACATAAAAACTACAGATATAACTAACTCATTTGAAAAAAAACTAAAATATCAATAAATCTAATATTTTTGGAAGGAGGAGTATAACCATAGTATTATTTGTAGAGATTAATCGGAGTGGGATGTAGGAAGGAGAAAACGCTCCACAGTGGCATCAAATGAGAGTCATAAATGTGGGTTAAAGGTAATTAACGTACTTATGTTGGTCGGCTTCATGGTAATTAAGTCGGTAAAATAACCTTAATTATGTTTTGTCAGCTCTTTGGTCGCTGTTAATACCAGTACTAGTTTTGTTGTAACAGAAGATCTTGATTTGTAAGGGGAGACGGATCAAAGTTTAGTAATTGCTGGGCCTATGGGCCCCAGCTGTACTTCTATTTTGCACTTGACAAAGACACATCGGTTGGGAAACTCTGTTGATAGCCATTAATAGATCTCTCCCTCTCATGCCACGGACAAACAACACAAACAAACTACTCCCTCCGTCCCGTAATATAAGAGATTTTGACATTTTATTTGTACTATTTGACCATTCGTCTTATTCAAAAAATTTTAGATTTATTATTTATTTTATTTGTGACTTACTTTATTATTTAAAGTACTTTAAGCACAACTTTTTATTTTTTATATTTACACAAATTTTTTGAACAAGACGAGTGATCAAATAGTACAAGAAAAATATCAAAATCCCTTATATTAGGGACGGAGGGAGTATAAAACATGAGGACAATCTCAATGGTAGTTTCATAGGAGTTTCATTCTCAATAAATGAGACAACATTGAAGTAAATTATTGATAAATGAGATAACATTGAAGTAAATTATTTCATTTATCAATTCAAAACTTTTTAAATAACATGGCACTCTTGGTAACCATAAAATGAAACTCCCCACGAGAAATGGCCTGATAAACACAAGTATTTTTTAGATAATGGAATATAATATCCCGGCTTTTACTCAAATAAGCACAAGTAGGACAGAACTCTCATTAAGATGTCCAGTGTGAAACTAAATGGTAAGAAAATAGATCCAAATGAATAAAAGGAAAATGAGGTATACTAGAACTTAAGAAAAGGGTGATCCAAACTAAAATTTACAATATTATTTACTACATGCATATAAAACTATAGGAAAAAAAACTTACTAGGATACTTTTTCTAATTTTGCTTGAGTTCCTCTAATTCATAGAAAATCAAAGGGAAGACAACTACTATGGCAGATACATTTTTTCCCAATGTGGCTTATCCGTATGACGGGGCGTACGAATCTCAAAACAATTAACCAACAACATATATAAATAATTACTGCGATAGCTAGTGCAGCATTAGACACTTGTTTTTCCTGTTGTGTAGAAAATTACTCAATAAAATCAAGAACAACCTGATGTTGGCATTTGGTAGCAACCATCTTCAGATATCGATCGTGACTTTAGAAAGATAAGATAGCGAAAGTACAATGGGAATTAATTAATGTTTCCAAATGTTGATCGTCGATCGCAATCATGAATTCATTCATATCTGCCGATCGAACTAACGACAGATCGACCTGCACAACATTTGAGTGTCTTAAAGGTGACAGGCCAAGTCAGCATTCAACAGTTCGTCACACGCTGTTCTTATCCGGTCTTCTAGGAGCAATTTCTTTCACTGATTAGAATCAACTGTACGTAGTAATTAATTGTGAAACATTTTCATTGTGCCATTCAGATCGAAATTTTCAGATATCTCCCTTTAATTATTAGGCGCTACATGCTCATCACTAAATAATCAACTTCAGGTAATTCTACATGCATGGTTTCGAGTTATTTCATGTTCGCACCAAATTATAATTAATTCATGTACTAACTTCAAAGGTCTAGAAGTCTATAGTAGTATAGTAGATATACATGCATTTTTTTTAAAGTTAATTAATGGATACAACCCAATCTCTATATCCACAGGGCAAAAGATACACAGAGTTATAAGACTCGTGTCCTCGAAACTGAGGAACACAACAAAACACTGAAAGAAAGCTTGAAGACTAGAGTAAAGAAAATTAGAAGACTAAGCTTCAAACATGTTTTAAGTCCAAGCTTCAAACATGTTTTAAGTCCTTGTGCAGCATCAACTCTTCCCATTGCTTCTCCGGAATTGTTGTCCCTTGTGGAGATCTCTGCTGTAGCGTGAGAGGGAGGAAGGGGAGAAGCAGAACTAGTCTGCCCTATCGTTACCGCACCATCTCTGCCATTGAGGATCTCATCCACCAAACAACCACCATCCAAACTCACTGTTGTGCCGCCTGCCAAAGTCGAATCCCGCTGCGGATGCTGTGAGGGGGAGCTAGCTCGCATGTCCCTTGTGCTCATCGACGTCACTAGCACCAAACTCTTCACATGCTGACATCTACTAGTCCATTATCTCCTTGATCCATGTCACCATCGCTAGTTGTACGCGATGGTGCTCCTAGCTCATCACCAAATCACATTGTGGCCGTGCCTTCCTCCCACCGACTTTCGCCTCATCCGCCATTGATGCCCTAGTCCAAGTCATCGTGGCAATCACTGGCGCTCCTAGCGCACCATTAAAGCTAAGGCACAGCCGAACTGGATAGCCACCACCGACATCTCCCACCTCTGTTGTCACCACCATCACCGTCATCATCGTCCTTAGTCTTGTCGCCGTCATTGTGCTTGTCGTCGCTCCTAGCGTGCCGTCAAGCCAACCAACCACCAGCACGACCACCATCACCGGCCAACACCACCCTGGCCCTTGTCGCCATCTCAGCATTTGATAGTGCTCCTAGCATGCCGCCAAGCTGATCAATCCAAATGAGGCCACCATCACCACCATCCGCTGCCTCTACCATCTCCACAGCACCGCAGTTACCGTCCCTTTCCTCTGGCGCCTCCTCAACGCTCTCTGGCGCACCTAGTGCGTCGTCAAGCAGTCCTGCTACCATCTCCCCCATTGACCACAGCCACTACTACCACTGCCCCTGTCGCCCCACCAGATCCACCCACACTAGCCTCTAGATCCAGTCAAGCCACTATTGCTGGAGCCAAGATCCGTGCAAGCCACCGCCGTGTCGCCTCCTCCAAGGAACGGAGCGAAGGAGGAAGCCCCAACCGCCCTCCTGGCGGACACACGCACTCTGACACCCCGCTCCAGTGGCAGCGAGGTTGGAAAATGGGTGGCGCCAGCTAGGTTGAAGAAGGAGAGGAGCCAACCCTTTCTCTCCTCTAGCATCTTCATGCATACTACATGCACGTGAAGCTCTGATCAATTTGGTTTGCATTAATGCATATATAGGGGGTGTTTAGATCCACGGGTGTAAAGTTTTGGCGTGTCACATAAAGTATTATATA